GATTGTGTATAAAAATGGTTTCAGTTCCTAAAATTTGTACTTGATATTTATGTTCAACCCCTTGAATTAAATCTGAAAGTCTGCACTTCAAATTCATTTGGATTGTTTCGTTTTAATTTATTCTGGTGGCATACAGAGCCAAAAGTATGAAAATTGTGCCCGTGTTCAACTATATATGGACCTAACTGTATGTATGTGTATGAGTTTTGATACTACTTGCATTCAATAGTTAACTTGGTTGTTTTTTATACAAATGTGTCCTGTGAAAGCAGCTTTCATTTGACTGGTATTCCAGTCACCTTTTTTATTTTGTATTAATACATACAGCATGCTGCAGCGACCGCACTGACTGTGTTGGATGTGTTGGCATATTTCTATGGTTTAAACCATTTTACCTCCTTATTAACAATAAAAACTGACAAGGGTTCTAATCCTTCTCCACTGTATCCATTCCACTGGATATACAATTATACTGGATATATGATTATGGGCCAAAGCAATTTATACAACAATACATTGCCGTCTACCTAAATTCAGCTCTTGCCAGACCATTCATATAGAAACATATCACGGCTTTCAGGTTTTAAATTTTTTTGGGCCTAACCATCAACATGGGCATTACAAAAAGGAATAAATTGTGGTCATATTGGTCAACAAACCCGATTCATCATATGCCCATGTTCTCTGCTGTTACATTTATGCCCAACAAGGACCAGCAATGTACTGGTATGTCAATGCATTTGAGTGGTTATACCAGAATAATTCCTGCAGCTACAGGCATCATCCTCGTATTGTTTTTTTCAGCTGGCTTTTGGCTTTCATGTTAAAGCAATCCTAGCGACTAATTAGCCACTGGATCACTCTTATAAGCAGCAGGCAGGGACGTATACAACCCACCCACTCCCCCACCCACCTTGTGTAAAGGCACTTTAAATTATATTTCCAGCACAAAGCATTTTTAATGCAATGCTAGAAAACAAATGCAATTTTTTTCAAGTTTAGATATGTAATTTCAATCCATGTATGGCCTGCTTAAGCTCTGCAGATTACATTTGGGGATCAGCTCTCCCAGAGTAATCATTGAGGCTCTGGTGTCTATGTGAAAGTTGTTCTCTGGAGCTTCTGATAAACAGCATGGACAGTTGCCACACAGACAATTGTGCCCCATTTGATTACACCAGGAGAGCCAGTCTCCCAGTGTAAAAAGTCAGCAGGGCTGATCTGTATTTTGACAGATAGGACTTTCAGAGTGCAGGAGAGACTCCTGCTTCAGCTGCACCCTCTCCACCACAGCGCCTAAGGCGGCTACATCTGGGTTGGCCCAGCCCTAGTTACTAAATATTCAGAAGAATAAAAACTGAGTTTTTAAAAATAAAAAGTGGATGTAATATATCAACCAGATTAAATAAACCTGAATAAAATAAATGACATTTCATTGATTCTCACTCCCTGCCCTGCCCTACAAGTAGATGAACAAGTTAGCTACTACAGGGAGTTCAGTGTCTCTTTTTGGCTTTCAGATCATTCTTGGCACATTGTAAGATGCTCTTTTGAACAGCGCTGTATTTCTGTCTCCACATTACAAGTTCAATGGGCTAAAGCCAAAAGGAGCCTTAGGTGAACATTATTAGCTAGTTGTAGAAAGAAAATGACAAGTAGAGGCACAAAGATGGGTTTGAGGTCCCCTTTTCTGTGTTGTAATCCTTAAAGGTGTGAAGGCTTGCTCACCTGGGTACGTCATGCAAGCCTTTGCCTGCCTGTGGATGTATGGGATAAAAGAGCTTTTCTTCCTTTGACACACCTGGATTAATAGGAGCAGAGCCACAGTGGTCAGGATTGTGTTTCAATACACACATGAACACGCCTTCCTGTTTCTGTATCCTTACAGTTAAAGGTTAACTTGCTGTCTGCCCACATTAATCTTTTATTTGTGCTGGACTGTTATGAACACACAGATTAATATCCACATGCTTAGGAAACCACAGGTTTAATGTAGCAATGGTAATCTTTACAGCAGTGTGTTTAACAAAATACTACAAGCTATTCCTGCTCATTGCATCATTGAAACCATGAGTAAAGGGAAATTATCTAAACAATAAAAATAGGTCAAATGTGTGTGACTGTGTTCATGAAAATCTGTACTTCTTTATTGTATGGATCTGAATATGTGACAGCAGGCAATGCATGCTAATCACTCATCCCCATCATCACTTCTTTTACTACCCTGGAACAGAATCCCTTTTAAACATGGGGGGATAAAGTTACACATTTCTAACAAAGAAAATGTTAGTACACTTAGTTGCTGCAGTGGCTATAGGAGTAAATCAAATCTTCAAGTGGATGTAATCCTCCTCTACCCCCCCCCCCCCCCCCAAATAAAATAGATGGTATACTGCTCTGTGCAGTGGTGTTGCATAGAGCGGCCCTGAACCTCTTCTTCTGTGGTCTCCTACCAGTGCTCTCTTCTCTGAGTGCCTCCAAAGCAAGCCCCTTACTATGGGGGCAGTTTTGTGGGTGCACTCCCACACTGGGCTGTGTGCGTCCATAGATACACACAGCTTGACTCCGCTACCTCCCTCCTGACTAGATTTGACTGACAGCAGTATGAGCCAATGGCCTCTGCTGCTCTTAGCCAATCTATGAGAGTGAGGAGAAGAGCTGCTGCAGACTGGGTAGTCCTGAATTGAGAATAATCTCAGGTATGTGTTTAAGGGGGAGCTGCTGTTGAAAGGTTTTTTTACCTTGATGTAGAGAATGCATTAATGTTAAAAAACAAAACAAAAAACCTTTACTTTCTGAACTACTTTAACGTGTATGTCAAGTTATAAACTGACCTACACAAGCTCTACTGTTAGGTTGTTACTGCTATCCAGGGCTATGACAAATGTTTCAGCAGACAGGAAGTGAGAGAAAATCTCCAACAGGGACATAGAAAGAAATGAAAAATTTTCAGGGGTCCTAGCACTGTAAGATTGCCCATCCCTGCTATAAAACAATTGTTTTCTGTATGTTCTTTTCACATTGCAAGGCAGCTCAGTGCTGCAAAATGTATTTTATTGCAGGGTACAGGATGAGATTACATGTCTGTGTATAGCAACACAACCCACTGTGCTGCTGTGATATAAATGAAGTGTGACTTTGTACACTTCAAATACAATTGAGTACAAACAAAAGGGGGGGGGGAACTGTGTGATGTTGAAACTTGTTTCACAGCACCGCCTTACCACTGGCTCAGTGCAGCCTCAATGGACAGCTGCCATACACTACACAGTGCGGATTAGTGTGCAGCAGCATGAACAGGCCCTTAGACACACTGTATATAGTACTGTCAAGAATAACATTTTCAGAGATTGAAACATATATGTTGTGGGTCAGTACAGTTAAGGAATTTTGTCCAGTGACTCCATGTGATCATGACTGTGGTCTGTCTGCTAGGACCTTGCATTGCCAGAGGCAGCCACACTCTTATGGAGCTTTCCCTCCATCTTTGCAGAAGTAGCTTGATGTTAACAGCATGGATAGTCATAAGCTTTTACATACCAATCCTTTTTAACCATTATATGCACTGTGCCAGCTGAGATATCATGTAGACTAGCGCAAAACCCCCCTTGGCATTAGTACTAGGGCCTGCGTTCACTTTAAAGCTTAGTCAAAAACTTTTTTTTTTTAAGTCAGCACAAGGGATGGTACTTGCATTAAAAAAACGCCAAAACATACACACCCGCAGCCATAATTAGGGGTTAATACGAGTCGAGGTACCTGTCCAAGGCACTCGTCAAAGACAGGCTGATCAATGAAAGGTCTACCTCCTCCATTCATGGATCGCTTTTCATTAGTGGAAGCTAAAGTACAGCTTTTATGAATGGAGGAAGGGGTGGAAAGGGTAGGCATATCTGACACTCTTGATGAGTGCATAGGACAGGTCTCTCACCACTGCAGCACTGGGAGATTACAGTGGCGGGGGTAGGGACTTTGGATGTCAACTAAAACAGCAACCAGCAGCACAAAGAAACAAATTGCATTGGCTGTACTGTTTCTTGTGCTGATTTTCTTTTACATTTTTTTAAGTCACAAGTTTGGACTAAACATTGGCTTTTAGTTGGATGGATGCTTTTGAATGTGTACTTCAGGCTTCAGTGGGTGCTGAACTGCATCTGTGAAAAAGTCTATGTACTCGAGATCCAATTAACCGTGGATTTCATAAGAGACAAAACTGGTATATTGATGTCTTTATTACTGTAGATATGAATGAATTTAATTGCAGGGTTGTATAATTTTATCTAGTTGTGTTGTTTTGCTGAACCCTGTCAAATTTATTAAAGTCCACCTGTCCAGCACAGCTACTGCAATCCATATACTGTATGTCAGGATCACATTATTAAAATGACTGGGGTAATAATACAACAATATAATGGTGTATGGAGTAGAATAGATTAGATTACACTTGTATGATACAAAGTCAAGGTGGAAAATTTTGAATAAGGAGCTTTTTGGATTCGCACTTACCTACAGTGCCTTGAAATAGTATTCATACCCTTTGAAATTTTCCTCATTTTGTCATGTTACAACCAAAAATGTAAATGTATTTTATTGGGATTTTATGTGATAGACCAACACAAAGTGGCACATAATTGTGACCCCAAAAGTACTGAAGCCAGATACATCTAGCATATTTAGGAGATTGTCAATGGCTACCCAACTATATCCCTAAGAAAACCTGTACTGGCAGAAACGAGTAGGTGCACATTGCTGACCTTTTCATGAAAATGCTTAAACAGATCAATGATTCGGAATCTATTGAAGATATTGGATCAACACGACAGCAAGAAGGATAGCATCTAAGGAGGAGAGGTCAGCAGGTCTCAGTACTAGTGTTCTGTACATAATGACCAGCATTCTAGATATATGCTGGGTGCAAGTTCTGGTGGTAATAATAATATATTTATTAAATAAAATGCAAAACTAAAATGGATTTTCCTGTTCTTTTTTTTTTTTTGCAGATGAATCTGGCTAAAAAACAACCCTTGCCGTGACAAAGGCTCAAGCCCACTCAATTCCAATCCACCAAAAGCTAAACAGATGCCAAAAAAGAAAGGGAGGAACAGGCTAGCAAGGTTAAAAGCCAAACTGAAAATGTGGAAAGCACAAGCTGCATCTCAAGGGAATACATAGCCTTGTGAAGAATTTAAAGACGTGCTTAGATTGGGTTCTCCAGATCATCGCCTGCACTATCGGTCTGTGCACACACAGACCAGGAAGGTTTCCTCCAAGTTCCAAGGGAAGTGGTAAATAATGGTCCCAGGATACCGGACTTGCCTGTATACTGGCAGGACACAGGAATTTTCTGGAGCTGCTGTTATTCTGTAGTTGAAAAGCAATAAAGCATGGACTGGAACATACAAGAAAAAGCCATTTATGAACAAATTGAATTGTTCTTTGAAGAATAAAGTTTATTTTTACTTAAAGGTTAAATGGAAGTTTCTCAGTATGTTAAATAGACATAATAATTCATAACACCCTTAAAGTAAACCCTTCACAAATGGATGCAATTCAAACTGAGCAAGTATTTATCTTTTTTTTATGTTTTTCTGCTTTTTATTTTATCTCTTGCACTTACAGGATTCCTTGAAGTCTTGTGGGAAACTACCTAAACTATGAGCACTTGCAGTATTGTTACTGTGCATGTGCAAGATGAATCGCATGAAGTGCTTCTCAAATCCACCATAAGAAATTTGTTTGCTGGAGGATAAAACAGATGCCAGCAGATATCGCATGTGTTGTATGGCTGGCACATGTGCAAGATGAAATGCATGACGTCATGCGCCTCATCTTATGCATGCACAGTATCAATGGCAGCGTGTGAACAGGGACCCAGGCAGGACAAAAACAAAAAAATATTTATTTCAGGTACTTATATAGCGCCGTCAATGTACGCAGCGCTTTACATATATATTGTACATTCACATCAGTTCCTAACCCTCAAAAATATGAAGAACAGGTTACAAGCAAATAGGGAAGTATGATTATTTCCTCCCTATTCAGGTATACAGGTTTATAAAGTAGTCTGATGTGTATATATATAAATATCCTGATGGCAAATGGTTAATACAAGGATCATGGCTGCAGCTACAGCCAAGAGCCCAGTACTATTTTTTTACTAGCTGGTATTTGTTATGTAAAAGGAATTTGGGCAGCTTACTTTTTTTTTACAACTTTGGAAAGAACCCCTCCTCCCCTCCCATCACCTGCAGTGGTTCCTGTGCTCTTCTTTTCCTCCAGCAAGCCCAGGGCTGTGGTAAACAGTAGGGACGGCTTCCTGAAGAGGATATGGAGTAACATTCATTTCCTGATCTCGGTGACAAATGAAGCTGAAAGAGACCAGGATTTTATCCCTTATGGTTTCAAAGCTGTCATTTCCCAGCAACCGGTCAACACTATTTGTATTTGATCAGCTACCTTGAAGGGCAGATGAGACATCAGGGGTTTAGTAGACCCCTGATGTCTCCATAAGGAGTACTTGTCACCTGCCTAACACGATCACAAAGGGTCTTGTCCACCCCTTTGTGATAGCATTTAAGCTAAATGTCTATTAATTCCAATAGGCTGACCTATGTGAGGAAAAAAAGAAAGGCGCAAGCTTGATGTTTTATGATTACGCTGCTCCAAATCGCATGGTACTGTGGCACTATGCATTTTGGTTGGCTGGAACGTTTGCACATTTGCACTATGCATGGGGATGCAAATAAGAATTTGTGGCATCTGATCTGCTCTTCTGCAAATGGGCAGCGTGTTTTATGTATTGTGTTGGGTATGCATGCAATTTTGGTGTGAATGGAGCCTGTAAAAAGGTGATCACATTGAAAAGGTATAATGACTTTTCTATACTGTATGCCAGTGAAATGGTTAATCGTGCAGCACCAGCATTCCCTGAATACTATGTGAATCTTTCTTCGCCGTAAAACAAGGTTCAGTAAAGAGGTGAGGAGTGTTTTTTCAGATCAAATTCCATGGATTCTACCGCCCCACCCCACGATATCCCCATGACTCACAGCCAAGATATGCAGTTTGCTGTACTTCTCCCAGAAAAAAAAACATTGGAGATTTTACCACACACTGAATGAGTGCTGAATACCTGCAGCCTGACATGGAGGATAGGATTGAGGATTTTAACACTTTTGACCTCTACAGGGGGTGAGCAGGAGGAGGGTGAGGCTGGGAATGAAGCTCACACCTCTTTTATCTGTAGCTATGATCTGTGCTATTCATTTACATTTTCCCTACTAGCTTCAGATGTGCTGCAAGTATAACATTCAGTATAGGAATCTGCTTGTTGCAGGGCTGCCTACATGCAGTTAAACTTTACACTTTGTAGTATTGTTACTACAACATTGTTATTACCAGTGTTCGCTTAACCACTTGCCCTCCAGAGGATTTATCCCCTTTCCTGACCAGGCCATTTCTTGCGGTTTTTTTTTTTTGTTTTATTTTTTGTGCTATAAAAAAAAAAAAGACCAACAATTTTGAGGAAAAAAAACAATATTTTTGACTTTTTGCTATTAAAAACATGTCCAGTAAAAAAATTAAATTTCATCATACATTTAGGACAAAATGTATGCTGCTACATGTCTTTGCTAAAAAAAAATCACAATATGTGTAAATTAATTGGTTTACATGAAAGTTCTAGCGTTTACAAAGGGCGGTATATATACTGGAATTTTTTGTTCCACTAGTAATGTCGGCGATCAGCGACTTATAGCGGGACTGCGGGCATTCTGACACTGGGGGGAACTGACTTGGTGTCACTGACATCCCCAGTGATCAGTGCTAATAAAAGGCACTGACACTGGGCAGGAAGGGGTTAACGTGGGGCGATCAAAGGGTTAACTGTGTGCTGTTTTACTGTGGACTGTGTCTGTGCGTTCAAGTGTAAGCACACTGTTTTGCATGGCTCTGCTATGCAGAGCCATGAAAAGCAGTGTGCAGGAGCTGACAGGGAAGAGAACTGTGTCGTTTACATACAGTTCTCTCCCTTTGTTGGTAATGCTCCACGATCACCGGGTGCCGGAGAGTAATCACCAGCCGGGACCCAGTGATTGACAGCCAAGGCCGCGAATAGCGGATATGACACGTGGCTTGCGTGGACCCCCTACCTGGAAATACAAAATCACATATATATACCTAATTTTGCGCACCCCTGCCGCCCTGTAGCAGTATATCTGCTATAGGGCAGCGGGAAAGCAGTTAATTATCACTAAAGAGTCAATGGTCTGCTAGCTATAGTAAGTTGAGTGTTGCTTATTTCCTTTTGCAGACACTGAAACATAATCAGACATGGACAAAGATATTCTGTTATTCAGTAAATAGTACAAGTATTCCTTATAAAACACAGATATCCACACTGGAAAAGATGTTGATCCTAGATTGTAAGCTCCAAAGAGCAGGGCCCTTGCCCCCCTCATGTATTGTATTGTTACTCTATTGTCTCATGTACTGTCCCCCACAATAATGTACAGCGATGAGCAAACCTTTTGGCGCTATATAAATAATGTATAATAATAATTTTGAGTCAACACGAATGTCCAAATGCTTCTTCACTAACATTGAAACCGGAAATACACTAAAATACATTCATATTATTATCATGATACGGTGACTCGTATTCAAGCCTTCCCTCTGAAACTTTTTAAAGCATATTGCTGAACTGTTTCAGGTTTCATTCTCCTCCTGCCATTATAGAATATCTAAACCCAATAAAAAAAAGTGTACTACATTGCAGCTTACCAGTCCTTTGATCTGGTGGCTGTGTTACTATTCTTTTTTCAGGCAGTTTTGCTTTTTCACCTGGTCATTCTGCCAGTAACACACTTCTTGTCCTAGGGTGACAACAATCACTCAATGTACAGTATCTCTAGAGGAGCAGCTTGGTCACTGTAAGACTGGATTTGTTTTAGGACTACAGGGCACATCCCCATCTCCTCTTCTCTACGACATTGGTTGTGTTCTGTAGTCCACAGAGAGAATTCGGAATATTGCTCATTTATAACAACCAGCATAGGCAGAGTTTACAGCTTAGCTACCAGTTCACAAGATATCTCGAAGTATTAACAGGTATGTACAATTATTGAACAGATTTATAGATTGAAAGTGTATTGTTATATTTAAAAGAGAAGTATGGGGTTTATATTAAAAAAAAAATGATCACCTAAGTGGACACAGCATCAATTCCCACAGCTGCCAATTCACAAAAAGAACATTGGGGAACTGGAGAAAGTACAGAGAAGGGCAACCAAACTGATACGAGGCATGGAGGAGATCAGCTATGAGGAAAGATTAGAGGAACTGAATTTATTCTCTCTTGAGAAGAGGAGATTAAGGGGGGATATGATCAACATGTATAAATACATCAGTGGTTCATATAGTGAACTTGGTGTAGAGCTATTCACCCTGAGGTCATCACAGAGGACAAGGGAGCACTCTTTACATCTGGAGGAAAAGAAATGTAATCTCCAAACATGGAAAGGTTTCTTCACAGTGAGAGCTGTGAAAATGTGGAATAGACTTCCTCAAGAGTTGGTTCTGGCCAGCTCAGTGGATTGCTTTAAAAAAGGTCTGGATTCCTTCTTAGATACACAGAATATAACTGGATACTAACATTTGTAGGTAATGTTTATCCAGGGAATATCTGATTACCTCTCGGGAGATCAGGAAGGAATTTTTTTCCCTGCAGGAGCAATTTGGTTTTTTTTTTTTGCCTTCCTCTGGATCAACTGTGGGTGTAGGATTATAACTTTTTTTTTTTTTACGTAAGGTGCAGGCGTGTGTCATAGAAAGAAAAAGCCTACAGGGATCATTGTTTCAATAGTGTGAGTAGTTTTTCAATATGATGAACAAAAAGCGAGGGGAAGCTTTAGGGAATTTTAGGAAAAGAAAAGGAGAATGGTGGCAAAGAGAGAAAAAAAGGGTGGGGGGAGAAAACCCTGGCCTTTATCCAGGGAACGTCCCTTGGACTCAATCTTCCACCCAAGTCAATTGACAAGACTACTGTGGAGGATTGGGACACAAGAGATTGATTTAAAAAAATCATCTATTAGGTATTGAAGGCTTCAAGGTCTTCCATATGCATGATTTCTTTCATCATCACTATTCATTGAGTTATAGAGGGGGGCTGTG